GTCAATAAGATCGTCGAACGGAAACTTCGCACGAAGAACTTTCGCGTTTTGCGCTGGAGTTTGGATAGCTTAGGAGAGACGAATGGCTTCCTGGGCTCGTATTACACTCTGTCGGTGACGGTGAGAACTGACGACAAATCAAAGGACTTCAAGTTCTTCGTAAAAACACCGCCGCCGAGTTACAGTCCCCAATACGAGTTCCTGGTGCGCAGCAATACATTCAACAAGGAGATCATCATCTACGACGAGATGATCCCTAAATTGGGTACTGGAATCGGTCCGAAATGGGTGCCAGAATTCTTTCTAGGTAGGAATAACGAAGTGATGGTCATGGAGGATGTGACACAGGAGGGTTATGCCAATCCCGACAAATACGTGCCGTTCGATGACGATCACTGCATGTGGCTGACACGGACGATGTCGGCACTCCACTCGAGATCCCTGATTTTCGACGAGAAGCTCCGTCGTAGCACAGGGAAAACCATCATGGACCTCTACGGTAAACTATTCAAAGAGTCGGCATTCATCGAGACGGAAATCAGAGCTCGGACGTACCTTTACGCGTGCAACTTGGGTGCCAAAGCGCTGGTAGACCTCGTCGAGGGTTTCACCGACGAGGAGAAAACGACGGTGAAGAATCGGTTGGACAGGTGGATCGTGAAGATACCCAAGCTTATGGAGCATCCTAGCAAGTACAGACACGTATTGGTCCATCGGGACGTGTGGGCCAACAATATCATGATCAAGAGGGACTCGAAGGGCAAGCCGATCGGTTGTCATCTGGTAGACTTTCAATTCATAAGATACAGCCCACCAGCGGTGGACTTTGTGTACAGCCTCTACTTGACGACCAATCGCGCTACCAGGCGTCGTTGCTACGACTCTCTGATCGAACTTTACTTAGACACGATGCGAAAAGAGCTGGCTGCCGAAGGCTTAGACATCGATGAGTGCCTTCCTCGCAGTCAATTCATCGAAAGCTGCAAGGAAGTCACCCCCTCGGCGATAGTCTACGCAGTTGCCAACATGCAGATCATGCTGCTCTCCAAGGAAGCGGTAGACAGATACTTCGTGGGTAAAAGTGACGAGCTGGAGGATGTCATGTATGGCGACAAGCGGCCAGAGCTGGTTCTCAGCCATTGCCACATGGATATTTATCGTACACGTGTACTCGAAGTAATAGAAGAAGTCAAAGATCACTTGCCAGACTATCCAAATTGTTAGCCGGTTCGATGGAACAGGGCTGCAGAGTAGACTCGCCGGTGTCCTCGTTTGTACTTGCTTTACGAGATTTGTGATAGAGGCTTCTGGAACACGGCCAGCAGGAGGTAGCCTCCTCGTTTCTGGATCCGCTGTTCGACATTGTCGCGAGGTCTTCGAGAACGTGCCAGGAACCAAGGTCGATCGAGAGACGTGACAAAAGTGATCTGCCCCTGGGTAGATGTGTTTTGAATGCGAGTGGAAATTAATAGGGCACGTCGTTTGATCCTGGAAAGGCTGAGGACGAGGAAGAACTCCTCGAGACTATGATATCTGTGGATATTCGTCTTTCATAGATAAGTGTTTAATGTTAATTTTTTTAGTGAATTTTACTTTAGTATCACCTTTGTAATAACATAGAATAAATTCTGTGAAGTATAGTAAGAAATTGAAGTTGGAACATCGTTGTTCGTTTGTTTTAAATATATCTGGTTACACCTATTTGCTATTAGTTAACCTCTTAGGCACGACGCGCCACTATAGTGGCTTCCTCGGATGTCATTTTTCTGCGACGGACTACTATAGCGGTTTACACGTAATTCGCGTTGACCTCTGCCTGACTGAGAAGCAGTCCCGCGCAAAATTCAGCCGTATCTAAGAGGTATAAATCTGTTTTATGAATGATAATTCTTTTCCTATTCTTCTCTGTTCAATTTTCTCTAAATTCATTTCCTTTTCTACAATCCTCAGTTTTCCTCAAATTCTCTGCATCTTATCCTTGCCCCAAAAAACCACCCGTCTTCAATTGGAGAACGTGCGCGTCACGCAAAAGCAGAATGCAGGCCAAAAAAAAAAAAAAAAAAAAACGAATTCTCCGTAGAAATTCATTGTTTCCGCGAGTGTATTTCGTTGCAGATTGTAACCTCTCGACTCTCGCGGTGAAAGAGCTTTTCACCCAGCAAACGATGATCGGGTTGCGGTGTATTTCGTGACTAAAGTCAAAACGTCAAGTGGCTGGTATTTTTCTATTAACACGTGTACGCCGACGGTGTTGCGAGGGTACGCCTGCTCGTCGGTTATAATTGATGCCGAGGATAGCACTTTGAATGGAAACGAACGCACGAGAGCGTTTCGTCCAGGGAAATTCTGTTTCGTTCGTTTTTTCTCGTTCACGTTGCCGCGTCTCTTTATTCCCTACTTTGAGATTTTTGCCAGCGGTAATGCGTACGAATAAAGCAAATACGATCCAACGAAACCGCATCGTTGCGTATTATTTTCCAAGCAGGTTTTTTCGATCCTCTGTCTTTCGCTCCGCTCTCTTATTTTTACGAATTGTCCGCGACGCTACTCGGGCTCTGTCTCTCGGCGGGAACCAGCCCCGACGTTTCAACGTAATTATTTCATCGGCGGTAGGGGCGGGAGGGAGGGCTTTATATGGCGGCCCACGCGCATACGCTCGCGGCTTTGTTAAACGGAGAATCGTTAAGAAAGCTAATTTTCCGCTTAAAACCATTGTGTGATACGGAGCTTTGCCAGCTTAAACGGCGTCATCGTTCTCCGTTAGACGAACTCCGTCGTAAAAGGGGAAAGGGATTACGCTTGGTAATAAACTTTGCAGAAAGCCCGCAAAAGGCAGAAAGACGGGTATGTCTAATATTTAAAGTAACTTTCCGTCCGTGACCCCCAACCGCGTGTAGGCTCCGTGCGCTTCATGTTTATTGCGAGCAATATTTCTTCTTTGGCTCTGCTTCGAGGTAAAAATGAAGAGTGCCCGACGGAATTAAAGTAAAATTGGCGAGTAGTCGGTACGAGCATTAGTATTAGTAGGAAATTCGACATTTTTTTTTTTTTTTATTCAAATGGTAAGGGATAGAAATCCTCAGGGGCTGTAGCATGCGTGTACGCAGTTACAGTACGGGTTTAGCGATCCCGAGGTACCCGAGCTAGGGGCCAGTGAGAAGTTAAGAATTGATGTAAAACAATGTAAATGCGATATGGAAGAAAATATATGTGCTAGACTGGATCAAGAGGTACAACGATACCAAATGTGCCGAATAAACTACATTTACTTCACAGGCCACGAGCTTTCCATAGAACGATGCAGAATTATCATCGATCAGCCAATAGCATTTTCTTCCATATCGCATTTACATTGTTTTACATCAATTCTTAACTTCTCACTGGCCCCTAGCTCGGGTACCTCGGGATCGCTAAACCCGTACTGTAACTGTTAGATCTGAACGTGGGGAATTGAAGGTAAAGTATATCCGGGGAAAGATTTTCCGGTGCACTCCCCTGTATCGATTGCACACTGGGTATTAAGGATGGTGCTTGTAATACAGCTTCTAAAATATTTCTAGAACACCTGATTAGAATCTCTTTATAGTTCAGCGTATTTTGAAAGTTGCCACCGCTTATTAACGTTTTAGTTAAGAGAACCATCTCCGAAGACGGAATTACTGGTCGCCGCGATCGCCGTTGCATCGTAACAATCCGTACACAAAGCGAAAATAGTTCTCACTGTAAGGGGGGATTACCCTGCGGGCTCTACGATTCGGAGCGATCAGTGCAAAATTACCATCCCATCGAGAGCACCATCGCGCTAAGCTTGTTAATCACAGAAGCTTACTGTTTCTCGTATGCTCATTATACTTCACAGGCCACGAGCTTTCCATCGAACGATGCAGAATTATCATCGATCAGCCAATAGCATTGCGATTCCATTATCCGCATCCCAGCTGAGCTCGTTAACAGGAGCCTTCCTTTAACCATGCTCCCTCGATTATGCTACTTTGGAAATTTCATCGGTACCTACGGATGCGTCTGTTGCTTAACGGAGCTACTTAAATATTTATTCAAAGCGAAGGCTTATCGCGAGACGCGGTACGGATCTTGGCGAAACTTGCGATTCTGAGGAAGATGGTCTTCGCTCCATTCATAGAGAGCTATAATAACATTTTGATCCATCTGAGAATTTTTACAACTCGAATAGTGTCGAGGATATGAACCCAGGTTCGCTATTAAGGCGTTATTATATTCATATTACAGTTATTATTTCCAGTATATTTCTTGCGGCAAAGACATGAGGCTCTCCTACACGATCAATTTTTCATACCGAAACGAATCAAAAAGTCCTGTTCCATTTTACAGTCCAAGCTTTCGTTATCGAGATACAAGCTGTCGAAGTCGCGAGTCTCCTGCATAGGCCCACGCGCAGCCGCGCGGTCGACTGACTGAAATGTAAAATGGCGCACGCTGGAAGCACAGTAGCAAATTTCAATCACTTATATCTATGAAACAAACCTTCGAATTACAAAATTGTAAATGACTTTTCGGCTTCTTTCCTGAGCAGGAATCGATCTTGATCAAAAAAATATTCAATATATCTGATAACATCCTATATATTTGTCAATTTATCACAATAAATTTAAACGTTTGCACCTATTTGAAATTGTTTCTGATTGAATATAGATCTGCCAATTAAAATATTTCCATGTCACCTATCCAAAGTTGCTATTGCACATGGAACCGAAAGTACCAAAGTCCGCGAAGAAAAGGAGCGAAGGACCATGCTTTCTTTCCTAGACGAAGAGATACGAGGAGCACCAGAGGGTTAATAGCGTTCAGTGGACAGCAGAGCACATCCGCCTGTGAAATCGCTGCGGACCAGACTGGCGCGTTAGGTCGCCCACACGGAAGTCTCGTGGCTCATGGAAGCAACGTTTGCAGGGCGCAGGCGTCCGGCTTTCGGCGTCCTGTGGCGGCAAGCGGGCTCGGATTTTCTCTAGTGCCGCGTCAACTGCCGCTGGGAGAGTCGTGTGCGTCGCACCCCGTCGACTCCAGCAACCCCCTTTTCGCGTGACTCTGTCACGTTCCTTCCTGACTCGCAAACAGTCACATTCGACGCGAACACGCTACGATTCTGATCTCGTTCTAATGCAAATGTCCTTCGACAATTGAACCACGACATCACGGACGCTTCATCGTCGGTTCCCTCCATCATGTTAAGAAAAACACGAATGGAGAGCGTGTTGCGCGAATCAACGACCCTGATATCTCGACTGTGCCACGACTAACTGTCATACGTTAGCTTGGACAGGCAAACGCTAGATCACTGGTGTAGATTCCGTGCAATCGAACCAGAGCGTTGGATAGCTTTCACCAGGTGTAAGGTAACTTTAATTTTGGGGGATAGGATCCTCAAGTGTCGTTGATAAATATTCTGTGATGGTTAGAATTGGGTGATCGAACAGAAGTGTGCGTTACGACTATTGTGTACCAGTTGACCAGAATACAGTGGTCTTTGATTCGAAGTGATTTAGCTCGGACATCATCCGAGTATCACGGTTAAGTGTTGTGTATCTATTGGAATACGGCGACCTTTGATCTGAGGTGACGGGACCTAATTGCCAGGACTAACTATCGGGTATCAGTTGGAATACAGTGACCCTTGATTTGGGGCAACTGAACCCAAGTGTCGGGGCTAACTATTGTCTACCACTTGTACCGCGGCGATCATTGATTCCGTATAACGGAGTCTAAGTGTCATTTAATCTACATCATTTGAAATACAGCGATTTTTTATTTTGGGTGGACCTAAGTGTCAGGGTTAACTATCGTGTACCAGTTGGAATACAGTGATTTTAGATTTCGGGAAACTGCAGCCGAGTGTCACGATCACCTATTGTGTCACAGCTGGAAGCCTCCCCGTCCCTGGAATAGAGCGGTTCTATTCCTAGCATTCGAACCGAAGTGTTCAGTGTGAGTTTCGTCTATTTCTATGGACGACTAAGTAACCAACATAAAGGTGATCGAAAGAGTGCTAATATTCCGCAACCCCAGTGCTTCGAACGATCCCGAGTTTCTAAGACCTTCGAACCACCTTTGGAGCGGATCAGAGGTTCACTGTACTCTCGAGATTCTGGCCAATGCTCGAGGTCGAGTTTTCGTGAAAGTGCGTCGGCTATGAATTGGTGCAAAGTGCAGGCTGCCGCGAATTTAGTGGAGACGTCCGGCTGGAAAAGAGTGCTTTTATCGGGCGTCGAAGCATGAGGGACGTGGCATCCTCAACGTAATGGTGAGTACAGAATTCCCCCCTACCGCGATGGATCCCGGCGATCCAAGGTCGGCCGTCGATTCAGACGCGTTTCGTCCGCTCGCGGAAGGGCGGAAACGCGGTCGCCGTGCCTCCGGCTAGTATAAATCTTTCAGGAAAAGATTCCCCGGTTCCCCGAAACGCTTGTGCGTTATGGATATTGTGCCGCGAGAGATGCTCTAGATAAAAAACTGCGGGTGACACGCGTGGCGGCCCTCGTGGTCTCCAATGTTTGCACGAGAATAGAGGAAAACAGAAAAAAATATTCCGCCCGTGTTTCGACGAATTTTACGTGATTGCGATTTGGAACATTTTTGAAAAAACCGAAACACGTCCCGCTGCGAGAGTTGCACGTGTAAAGCATAGCGGTTGAAAGTGGAATTATGGCAATGCTCTGGCCGGATTGGGTCGCGTGTATATTTCGTTTCGGACGTTTCGCTTATCTTTTCGTGTGTTGTTTGTGCCATTTCGCCGCGAACTCTTCTCGTTGGATGCCTGTGCTCTTTCTGAGTAACTAGGTTTTTGATAATCATTGTGTTTCTTGTTTATGGAGGACAATTTTTGAGTACTGTATGCTTCGGAATCTCTTTTATTTTCGAGGTAACTAATTTCATTAATAAAATTGTGATGGTCCCTGATATAAAAGGAAGAAAAGCAATGTTTTCTTATTAATTTAAAAAATTATACTACAATAAAAAAAATATATATATCTTTCACCGAAGCTAATTTTCTCCACGCAAAACAATTAACTAACAACCCTCGAGTCGTTCGCGATTAGCGATACGAAATCGCGTTGGAATTGTTAGAAGAGTCTATATTTCCACCGTTAAAGTTGGACGGTTTGTGTGATTGTAAAGTGCTGGAGTGCTTGGAGTACGGTAAAAATACGATACGAGAACTTTTTTCTTCTTATTTACACTGGCCAGTCCGTGTACATTTTAAAGCTTTCGCGGATGCGTCGATTTTTTCGTCGAAAGCTTTACCTCGCTATTTGCACGAAAGAGCAGAAGAGAGAGGGTGGAGGCAATCAACCATTAATGGCACGTGTCGAGGCGCGCAATTTACATACCTGAGCATGTGTCTGCTCTAGGTCAGACACAATGGCGCTCGCGATTTTAGACTCTACATTATTCCACTTTACGTCATACACATCGATGTCTGCCAACTGAATAATCTGGTTCGAATGCTCTAACCGGTTTAATCGCTTTATCCCGAACTATATACGACCGAAGAATGATGCTCCGAACTCGATGCTCTGGTAATTACCTTTGGTATCGCTTACATTGACAGTGGCTGATATACTACTGATTCGATGGCAATTGGGTGTGAGTACCACCTGCTAGGAGATTGTTAACTCTCTAGTAAGCAATACCGAAGTGCTATAGATACCCTCAAGTGGGTTACATATAGGTCAAATTATATTCGAATAATAAGTGCTACATTTGCTATTTACTTATGCCGAACGGTTGATTCTTCGTAATTATTTAGGAGGCACACGATTATAAAAGAAAAATAAAATTCAAGCTGCATAGAAGAACAACTTGTTTCTGAACAGAGATTTCTGATTCCACTTATTGTACTTTTAGCGTTAGTTTATAGTATTGCTACGTGAATGAAAAACTTTATATAAAGTAGTAAAGCTAAGCAAAAGGTGGGATAGTTTTTAACCCACCTAACCTCAAGGGTTAACCTATGTAAGAATTTTGTTCATTTCTTGTAGTAAGTGCACTTCTAGGAATGCTTTCATTACGTTCTTGATAGTTTTGTGATGTCCTACATACACTTCGGTATTTAGTGCCATATTCTTTTACCTAGCCTTTGATATTAACATAGTCCATAAAAGTGGACGGTACACCTGCTAGTTGTACACGATTATAAATACCTGCTGGTGTTAGAGTTCCACTTATAGGATATGCATGACTTCTACGAATCGTAGTTTGCGAACAAACATTTTTTTCCATCGCAAGTGAAACATTTGTGAATAAACATTAGGAAATCCTAAAAGTAGAGTCCTAAAACTAGGATTAGAAACGTAAAATTCATTCGAATTCTTTCTTGAGGAACTTGGGGAAAGAATAATCTTTACAATGGTAAATACCATAGATCTCTCAGAAGTATAATCTAAATGCAAAAGACGGCGCGAAGATGGTAATGTATAAATGAAGGAACTGAAAATTATTCGAATTCGTAACGAATGTATCAGCGGAATGAATAAGACGAGTCAGTGCATTAGAATCTGGTTAATCACAGCAATATGAGATTGAAAGTTCCAGAAAGTACAGATCCCAGGCAATAATTGAGGAAACCAATCCAATTACGACTCTCATTTACACGGTACATCTTCATTGCCTGTGATCGCTGTTTAATATCTGTTCCTTCCGCCAACTTCACTTGTTGCTAAGTGACCAGCCCTTTCACTTGTCAGCACAATCTAGCGAATATGCTTCTCGTGCAATTATCTTGATTACGTTTATCGAAGTTTCACTGTATATTATTTCGAGTATGATTAAATAAATCTGAAACAAAGAGAAACACACTCATAAATTAAACTAAAATGATGACTTAAATGGAGGCGATTTTACTTAATATAAAATTCAACGAATTTTAAATAAATTATTTATTAAATTAAATGGATATAGAATAATTCCTAGAAAATTGCTTCGAAAAACAAATCTCAACGCAAACAAACAAGATCTCGTTTGTTAAGCAGAAAATTATAATTTTTTAATCCCTGGAAATCCAAGCTTGTCCCTCAACACCAAACAACGACAATGGACAACTTTTCCACGAAGCGAGATGCAATTACCTCGCTGGCTCTCCACCATGTTCGCACGTCCATAATAAAGTTCGTCGCGGCAAACAGGCATCCGCAATTAAACGCGATCAGATCGATGATTAACTGCGATCGAGTGGGAAACTAATCAGAAAGTTCATCGATTTTTCACCCGTTTCGCCCAATTCACCGTCTCCGTTCACTCGAAGATTTATCATCGTCTCGGTCTTCGTTCCCTCTCTACACGTAAAAAATGATTTCGAAAATTTCCAATAACACACTGTGGCAACAGTTGCACACCCTGTTCGACTCTCAATTCAGAAGTTTCGCCATCCGCGAAGAGGAGATCGTCCCGACAACGCAACACTCGGGGACATTTTTCAAGTGCTATAATTTATCCGCCGCTGGTAGGGTAGCGGTGGATGACGTTCGCGTGCACTGCTGACAACGACTATTTCTATTTCTAGACACTTTTCTATAAGACGCATATAGCTTGGGATTTGTTTTTCATTTTAGATCGCTTATCTCTCGAGAATGGTAGCTTCAAGTTAGACATTTTTGACACAGTTTTGTTTCTGAGCGATACTTTGAGGTATCAACGTTACAGCCACCTTATTATTAATATAATAGTCTGTACACACGTCATGTCCATTTAATATAGAGAGCCTGGCGGTACATGAATACTTTATTCGGACACTGCGAGTTTCTGTGGAGTTGTCTGCGGCGCCTAGGGAGGGCTCCCTAATATCCGCTTACCAGTTTGTGTAGAGGTATCTGTTTCCCTTGTTGGTTACTGTTAGCTTGAATAATTAAGAAAAAACTTTCAAAACACCTCGCGACATTTCCTCCCGTCGTCAAAGGTGAACAAGTTGTTCGAGTGCTCCGTTTCAAATGCCTCGCTCTATATGTTCGATCTCGTTAATACCGCGATTCTATTGTCATCTATTCTCGTTCATTTCTAATTTCTTGAATCTTCTTTACATAAATTCGAATAACCACACAATTCGACGAATAACGGATGAACATATGTCGTCTCTGATTCGATACCTAAAACTTTTTTTTTTTAGACAGGATTTTAAACATTCCTGACCTATGTAGTCTACGCGTAGGCGTACGTGCGAGGCACGTGACACGAGTCGCTGTTACCGTTGGCATCCGTGTCAAAATGCATTTACAAGCATTGCATTCGTTCCAGGAAATTCTAGAATTGTCGAGACGCACGCCTTTGAAATTGATTTTCCGCGTGACGGCGCGCTTTGTCGTCTATTTTCGCGAGCGTTTAATTATCTCCACGAACTCGCCCCTTTATTAAACGTAAACACACGATATAAATCTATTTTCATATTCACATTTCCGTTCACGTAAACGATGGACAAAGCGACTAGTAATATCGAGTCTAAACAAATTCAAGGGACGCTCGACGATCGCTGAATAAAATAAAAAAGAAAATAAATATCGCTCGTATCATCGATCGTATTTGTCGGTTAACGCGTCATTTAACAACGACAGAAGCGCGACTGTCTACGACTGCAGAGACGTTTGGTGGAAATAAGTAAACAGCGTTGTGTACATCTGGGTTTGGTGACATCACGCTTCGTACAGCGCTTCCTGGTTCCAGGAATTGAGAGATCCAAAGTGGAACTTATTCCGGAATGTAAATATATTGCGATGTTTATGCACTCACATGGTTAAACGCGCCGAAAGTGCTCAACAATTTTAGCCCGGTTGTCAAGCAAAGCTGTGTCAATTTACCTTGATATCTCATATGCGCTCGGTATGCCGCGTGATGTACTTGATACACACGGAACTGCTCCGTATACGCCGGAGTGAAGATAAATGGTGTTTGTAAACTAATAGCGTCGGGGAGAATTTTTGCTACTTAATCGTCATTTGAGTCGCAGCTGCGACTGGTGAGTTATTAGGTTAATCGTTTCCGAGCGTTTAATATATTTTAATTACAACGCGCCCGTACCTAATGGCGAGTTCATCCAACCTGAAATTGAGAAACTCGTGCATAAACTTGATCGTCGAATGTCCTTTTAAATTACTCTTCCATGCAGTGCTTTAATTAAGGCTCTCGTTTGTTTGGCTGAAAAATCGACGTTCGCCTTCATAAGTTTAACAGGAATTATTCTAGAATAACTAAGTCTTGACATCCTAATTCTGAGAGGTTTGATTCTAGAAAAAACCCCAAAGGCGCCACTGTGGT